GTTTATTTTTGTGACCATAAAACTTATATGAGATTTTCGACATAGTAAGTTCAATATAAACTTTAAACTTCAAATGAGTTTAAATTTTGGGAGGATGATAAGGTTCCGATATGGAACCGTTTAAGCATTGTGGAACGAAATTTCAAATTTTGCATCAGTCTGCTGGTCACCCTAACGGCACTACACAATTCACCATAAAGCCAACCATAATACTCCAAGGCAACTTGTACGCCAACCAAATACAACGGGCTCCAATATGGCACCCAACTGTGCGAACTGAACTCACGGGGGATCACCAGCAACTGGTGCTTCCTCTCCCATTCTTCAAAAGAGGCTGGTCGTAAAGCACCTGTGGAGGTTTTACCAACGAAACGGGAAAGCTAAAATGACTGTCAGCTCAGCTCCCATCGGGGGGGTCATGGGTCTGACTAGCGGTGATGTGTTTGCTTTCTGGGACAGCTGTATGTGTGTGTGTGTGTGCTTCGTTGCCGTTGTCAGCTTGAAATGTGTCCTCCTGTGAATGTACCTCTTACGGGATAACGAAAGGTGACAGTGGCTAGGATGTTTAAATTTATGCTTCAGCACCTAATTTTGTTCTCTTTCACAGAGTTTCCATTCTGATCAGGATACTCAATTCATACGAATCATTTTACCCGAAAGTCCATACTTCCATAACGATCGAAGTAGTTAAATTTCATTTTCAATCAGAAAAAAAAGTGCGCAAGCAGCATATGATATTCAAGTTTTTCTCGTGAGCTTTTCTTTTCGTTCGTTACTTCCGAACATTTGAAACGGCATTTCGCTTGACTGGTTATTTCGAGTCCACTGGCTGGAGCACTAGAGAATGGAACGGCAGTCATAACTTGTTGAATCGTTGTCGGTGTCGGGGAAAAGTTTTCCAATCGACAATCCAGACACGTTCTGCTCGGCACTACGAGCGTGTGAACAAGTTCACATTCATAAGTTACACCCGATCAAACATGTGAATTTTATGTTCTCGCCAAGTCGGTAGCTAGTAGCAGCGCGTAACACAACTTTTCCTTTCTCTGTGTATAGCTCTCAGTACATGTCCAATTCGATTCGAACCAAGGATTTCTTCGACAGCACCGTTCTTGCTGTGTAATCGAAGACGACTTCATTCGCTTCATCCAATAACCGGCGCTTGTTGTATTTCGACGTTGCCACCACTTGAAGAGTAGCCAGCTCGATCCGTACTGGCAAAAGAACGACCACCATCTTCAGTGGAAACCTTAATAACATTTCGCTGGCAATTCACGTCGAGCACGGAATCATACTCGTTCAAAAGCACCCCACGCCTTTTTCAGTTTGTCATTTTAGGTTGCAATTTCGGATCAGAATACGACACTTCTTTTCTCCGCTTCCCCTCCACCCTCCGGTCTTTGACGGGTTATGAAAAAAAAAGAGAAAAGCCGCTTTTCTAAAAGGACACAAAAGTCAACAAGGCAGCCCACTACCGGAGGGAAGTACGAAGCAGAAGTCGTTTCTTGTTAAAAGTAATAAGGAACATATTTTCCGTTTCTAAGACGAAAGCAATCTAGCTTATTGTCGTTTAACATTGGTTTCAAGTTGCCTAACAAAGTTGAATGAATTTTAGTTTCGTTTGGACGATTAAGTCTGTTGCTGTCTTTAATTGCTTATTATTCATATATTTCAATATTTGAAATTAATAATTCTGAATTTAGAATGTAGGAAATGTTCTGGAGAATTTCAAAGAATCTCTGAGCAGTGATGGAAAAGTTCGCGAAAACTCACTATGACTCACGAACTTTTCCCTTGGTGAACTTCATGAAATATCGCGAACTTTTCCAACACTGTCTCTGAGAAGAGCTCAAAGAGAATTCAGTGGGTAGGGTGAATGCCACTAATGTCGGTCTAAGCGTCAAGGAGATGTTAATTAGCAGTAGTTTTAAGTTGAACTCCATTGATGTTCAAACTCACAACATTTGAGGATAGTGTCATCACTATAAACAATTTTAGCAAAAACTTCTGGGATTTGTCTTGAAGCGCCTTTGCAAATGGTCCTGATATGCGTTGTACAAACGATTATTAAGTTGGTTGTATTCAGTGCTCGCCGCCATATATCTCATTCTCGTGGAGTCCGTGCGATACTTGCTATGTCGTCTGAGAGCTGCCCGCTTCACAGTCCTAAGATGCTTGAGGTCAGCATTTGACCAGGCTGGCTTAGCCGGTTCGTGTCTAGACTTCACGGGAACGAACTGATCGATGGCATACCACAGGATACCAGATATGGTCGACGCAGCGAGGTTGGCATCACAATTTTGACGAAGCATAGATCAAGCGTACGATTGTTTTCATTTGCAATTCCACTCATTTGTCTGAGTCCAGCGGTGCTATACGTGATGGCAAGCTAATCGAGGATCGTGATGTAATCGGGTACAGGGAACCATGTGGACTACGCAGCCAAGAGATCGAGCTCAAGTTGAAATCGCCTAGGATGATAACGTTGTCTCTTGGTCCTAACTGCGAAACCACCCAGTTAAGCGAATCGATATGCTTTTCGATCAAAGATTCATCGTTTACTCGATCAGGGGGAATATACGCAACGCATAGGTAGAGTGTTGCATCGACAGTGGCAATTGCGATCCATATTTGCTCAACCGCCGAGCCATCAGGAGGGTCGAGCGTACGGGATTTAAAACTCGAGCGAACAGCCAGCAAAACACCACCTCCAGTGGTTTTGTTGCTATTCGAAGGCGACCGGTCTTGTCGATAAACGGAATATGATTCGCCAAACAACTGATTCGTTGAGGTATGTCCATTGAGCCAAGTTTCGGAAAGTGCGTAAACATCATAGGAACCGTCGCTGAGGGCCAATTGGTACTCGGCGAGAGAGCTGTTGATCCAGTAATCCTGTCCAGTTGATTGTAAGCTACTGGTTTAAAAACAATACAAAATCGAACGATCGTAGCACCTAAGTACTTTTTTGAACAGCTGATGAATCATCACATGGATTTCACCATATCATACACAGAACATCATTTACCGATGACAATTACGCTCCCAGGAAATACCTAACTTTCAAAGGAATCAAAAATACTTCCAACTGGTAATAAATGCACTTGGAAAAAACCTTCTCTCGGCCACAAAAATAAAAATTACTCTTCAAAAAACTTATCGATTTTCAAAACTGGCAAATCATCTTTAGATAACATTTGGAAAACCACGACGAAAACATAATTTACGAGCAATTTCTTGCCAAATGTATCGACTTCCCTGGGCATATACCTGGGACTATCCCAGTGGGACGTAGAAAAAGAAGGAAAGACAAATACAGTACCCGTTAGATGTAGGCACGGCCCGTTTTTGAAAACACTTAATTTTCGTTCTTGTTGCCAAAATCGAACGGGTACTGTATTTTGATGCCATTGTGAAAAATTGTAATCACATTTGTGTAACGGATTCACAAGTAAAACTAATATTCCATTTAAACATAGCCATTGAAGCGCAACAAAGGCCCTTCCACAACCACACACACACACACACACACACACACACACACACACACACACACACACACACGCAATAACTCACTAAAGTCACATCAGGCAATAACCCAAGAAGGCATTGCGACGAATGACGCCGCTTTGAAGTTCCCCTCTGTTGTTGCTACCATGTGTTGCTGTAGAACCCGAAGCAAGCGTGGATATATCGTTTCCGCTGGCAACCGAGGCACCTGTTGGAGCAGCAAGCTAAATAACAAGGTAAATGCTATGGATCACTGAAAGGCAAGTGTTCTTTGATCCGAATATGCTGTGAGATGAAGTTTGGATCCATCTTTTTTGGATTGAACAACTTTGCCTACCCGTTTTCACATGTTTTTCGTAAAAAACACCATTCTTCCAACTCTTGAATCTTTATGCAGTTGATTTTCTGTGATGAAAAGTTATTCCAACCACAAAAATGATAGTCAGAATAATTACATTTTTAATAACAATAGAGCGAAAAATTCTCCAACTCACAGTTGACAACCTGTTTGTTCTCGGAAAATGGAATAACAGTGCAGAAGACAAGCACCGTATCTCAACCACCATAGTGAGCACAGGAATATCCTGCTTCCAAATGTGAAATATGCGGAAGCCGGAAGCGAAGCTGTCTCAAATTACCAAACTTAAATATTTATGCAGTCGCTTTTGCACTTTTCGTGAAATTCATTCTCAGCTGCATGCGGGAAATGAATTGTGGATGTGAATACCGGTGCTGACAAAAGTGCTCAGTTTGATAGTTTATGCATTCGTAAAGAATGAAACGATTTTCCTTAGTTTGTTGACTGGATTGTATGTGGAAGTTTTCCTGCTGGTGTTTTCCGAAAGAGATGATATGTGCTTTAAAAGTTGTTGCTGATTTGAAAATTGTTGGAAAACTTCATTTTCCTCTTTCAAGCCACGGCTCGAAAATAGGCACCACAACCCTATCAAAACAAAATCCTTTCAACACCCCTGGAGGGATGCTTTTCCGCTTTATAATTATTTCCTTCTCTGCCAAAAACCGTCACGCCGTTGATTCGACTAAACTGCTATTTATATATCAAATGACGGCACCATCCTTCACTCCGCAAAGCGCACAATGCGGAGGGAAGAATAATCGTAAGCCACAGTCTGAAGGAAAAGCTGCACACGTCGGAGGAAAAATGCTCCGAGGGAAACTTTTCCTGGCAAACTGATAACTTCATTACCTCAACAAAAAGGGAACGACCGAGGCCGGAAAAATGAAACAATGGAAAGTGAAAACAAAATAAATTTTCTTTTTGGCTCAACTTCTAGGAAATGCCTGTTTGTGCGTGGGAGGGTGTTGGGGCTCTTGGCGAAATCAAATTTTCATTCTTCTAGGAAAACAGGGGGAATTTAGGGTCCACCGGCATGTCGGCTGACGGAAGCAATAACATAACTGTAGTTTCTCAAAACAGAAACGTGTCACATGTCTAAAAATGGAACATTCTTCTTCTTTCTTTTCGATTGCAGCTCTCGGTGACGCTATGTAACTTGGGCGTCGGTGCCACCTTCGGAGAGTCCATCCTGCACGATCTGCCCCGGGACAGTACGGTGGTGACGAAGACGACCTGCGAGCTGCTGCGGGTGGAGCAGGAAGATTTCAGACTGATTTTTGAGGTAGGTCCAGGGCTTTCCTTTTGTCTTAGAACGGTGAAGAGGAGATGGTGTGCTGATGGGTGGATTGTTTAATTTTATTAAGATGGGTGGATTAATAATTTTATTATTTTTATAATTTTATTAACAATAATTTTATAAATTATGACTTAGTGCAGTAGGATGTCAGTTTGCTCGGCGATTCGACGCACCGAAATGGATAAAAGTATTGAGCGAATCTGTTATCATGATTCCAGTTAATGCGAAGTCACAGAGAAGTTTCGATGGTCATTATCAGACTTTATTTGAGGCTCACTCATTTTGCACACCGCGAAAAAAAAGGTACGGGGCAAAGGGAGAATACAAGGTATTGGAACGGTGGAACGATGGATGTAACACATTTTTAAAAGAAATCTAGAGGGTGAAACCCTGCCGAAAATTAATGTTGTAGTGACAACGCTTACATTGGATGAAATAAAATGATAATTGTGTACATCCCCATCGATTGCCAGGATGCAATTTTAAATAACATGTCACTTTGAACTACCGAAGCAAGTTGCGCGCACTCTTCTTTATCAGTGATGGCATAATCATCAGCAAATTGATATTTTTCCGCGTTAATACGGTCTCAATATCACGCGTGATATTGTAGCAAAATTGATTTTGCAAGCTCCTTTGATATTGCGAGACTATTCACAATGTGTAAAGTTGAGAGTTGAATCGACGCTAAAATGATTCTGTTGCGCATCGTTTTCTTAGAAAGAGAAGGTATAATAATACTATCTCTTTTTTCTCTTCACCGATGGCAGACACGAAGCTGCTGCTGCCAGCCGTTATGACAGTTTCGGTTGCGTTCGGGTGTACAGTAAAAATCATGAAACTGAATCTCACCACAGTATGGTGAGATTTGCAGCTGGTGAGTTTTGTTAGCTTGATATTCCTAGCTGCGATATCACAGCTTGCAATATCAACCGCAGTTGTTTGCTTGTTGATTTTTGTCTACGAAAATCAAGCGTGATCTTTTTTTTATATTTTCCCAACACTGATCTTTATACAGCATTTTGTTAACATTTATTTGTGAAAGATTTTGTTTTGCTGGACTATCTTTTTTTTTTGTATAGTTCAGCAGGCTGTGAGCAAAATTTTATATTATTTTATCATTCTTAAAGCATCAGTTATGACCAATTTATTTTTGAACAGACATGATCAATTTACATGAAAATAATGACCGGTTCTTACTACAGCTGTGTCCATTTTCGTTGAAATTGGTTAGAAATTGTGATTAATTGCATTTAAAGTTTTTAATGTTTTTTCTTGAAGCGGTAGATTTCTTTTAATAATTATTGGTTTATTTGTTCGTCTTCGAATAAATCGTACAGACTACTTTATTTACCTATGATTCTAAATTCTATTTTTAAAACATATTTGCAAGTCACAAAGTCAATATCAGCACCAGTTGCATTGAAAGCTCTCGGACAGGCCTCGAAGGGATTATTGTAGCCAAAATCGTTCCTTGAGTAGGCACAAAGATAAGCTGTGAATTCCTCAGCTGTCGTGGTGGAACGTACAACGGAATGTCCTGTAAAAGCTGAGAACAATCGATGTTGCCACACAGAACATTGAAGATACGCAATTGCTGTATGTTCGTGCTTCTCTCACGTAAGGTTTCCAAGTGATCAGTGGATCATTCCATGAGAGTTTTTGAATCCTTTCGACTCTAATGATTAGCGATGTGTGATGAGGTGCCCAAACTGAAGCCCCGTATTCCTAGATACTACGAACTAGAGCACAAAACAAAGTTGTTGATATCGTTTTGTAGGGCGAGGTAGTCGAGTACGCTCGTGATGACTCTGTACATCTTCAGATCATCGACAAACAATTGTTTGAACGAAGAAATACGAGGGCACAGATTGTTCACGAGCAGAACAAGCAGCATTGGACCGAGGACAGTACCTTATGGCACATCTGATGTAATTGTGAAAGGACTGTCGGTCTGTCACGTACGAAAGAATTCACTCAGTTAAACAAGTAGGGAATCTCATGGCTTTTAGTTTCTCGGTTGCGTACAGATGTGGTACAGTGTCGAAAACTTTTGAAAAATCTACGTAGCTGGAGTCAACAGAGTATTAGTTTAGCACAGTAGGTTTGTAGATGTCGAGCGGTGCTGGACACATCCATATTGGAATTCCGATATTACCGGATGAACCGCAGTATAGAGAGCATTGTGGACTTATACCACAAATACCTTGCTTATACAGCTGAGAAACGATATCCCGGTAGATCTCAACAAGGTTTCGATCACCTGCTTTGTGAATTGGAATGATTGAAGTAATCTTCCAAGCACTAGGGAAAATAGAGCGTGCACAGTATTTTAGGAGATTAGGGGGAACTACATCTATCCCGGGGTCTTTTGATACATCGAGGGCATTCCAGGCTCTCTGAACATCATTCGGTGAAAACAACAATATGAGGAAATTCAGGTCGAACTCTTGAATTTGATTGAAACTGCTAGAAAGTAGAGGTGGTGAAGATGTGATGTAAACTGTTAAAAAAAACTACAAGGGACAGCCCTGTGGGGTTGTACGCAATGGTGATGTAGGACTACGTGGTCTTATATAGTAAATGTTATATGTTAACTGCAGCAGGAGCTTGCGTTTTGTGTAGGAATAGGAATTTGAGCGGGGTTCTCTCTGTTTATACTTTTTAGTATGACGCGCTTGGCATAGATGGCCCACAGCGACTCACGAAGAGCTACTGATTCCGATCAATAGCGGTGCGGTTTTTTCTCCTTCTATGGATGCGCATGTGGGCTGAAACACGCTGCTTGCAGGCAGCTTTTCGTTGTGTACTGGAAAACAATATTCAACGCCACGCTCCGAAAACACTGCTGCTGCTGATGCCGACGACCGGATACCACCACACACGGTGAATTGAAATCGATAATAATTTTAATTATCATAGCAACAGTGCAATTTTCAATAGTGAAATTTATAAAAATGATTAAGTCTTAAATAGATGCGTAGAAATATTTCTGATCGATTGGAGATAAAACTATTGAAATTGGTCCTGGGGCAGCTGAGTTATTAACGTTCAAAATCTTTAATAATTTTGTTACATGTTCCATTTTCGGTTTTCACAAAGTTTACAGCCATTTAGAAATCACAGACGTAGTCCTACGTCAAAAATTAAAGGGTTGTGTCCTAGACACGACCGCAGTATGACGTAGAACCACGCAAAATTGATGTTTGCCATGCATTTTGTACTATTATACTTATTATTATGAATGGAGCGGGGCAGAGAGTTTCTTTTGTGCAGAATATGTAAAAAAGATGGACTTTGGATGTTGATCTAATTGAATATATACAGGTACCAGATATGTTTTACAGTCAGTTGTTGGTAGTTCATCAAATGTATGTCTCCTCTTAGGCAATTTTTTTCTGAAAATTTTGGCTCTGCGTGTAAAAAAATGTTTTTACTTAAATTGTGGTTTGCATAAAATTTATTTCCCGTTAAAAGTGATCGTTAAGGTCCATGTCTTTTTCGGGTTGTTGTTAAGGGGAGGAGAGGTTATTGTTAGGGGGAAGGGGGTTTTACATACACAATTTTCTAAGTCTCATTCCTCACCCCCTTGTGATGGTCATGGTCACGTTGTGGTCCACGTTTAGCCGCTGTCTTGGTCCTACTTGCTGTAGGACCTAGTGCCACGCCGGCCGAAGTGATAATGAGCAGAGGCAGGAAAGCAGCGCTGTTTTATATCTTTTCAGGTCCAACCAGAATGATGTGCAACCAAGTGGGTTTGGAGAAAATGTTTAGTTCATGAAAACAGTGATAAATAGAACCAACTGTGCATTTTACAAAGGTTTTTTGATTAAAAATTGCAAAAGTATTTATTTCAGCAGATTTGTTAAGTAATATACTATCGATAGGCGTACTTGGATTTTAATTTCATCTATAAATGACAAAGTTACAAGCGTTCAAAACCTAACACTATTTCACCACACATATTTTTTGATTTGTACCCCAGTATAGTCGACAAAGACGTAGTTCTACGTCAAAAGCTCGCGAAAAAATTTGTTACATCGGTAGGAGAGCTATCCGTGGTACCGTCGAGTGAGACTGTACGTTAGGGAAGACCGCTGTGATTTCACGAACTTCCAAAATGCCGATGGGTTTTGCTTTAAGTTCTATTGCGTTCGGTCAGTATATCCCTTAGATCTTGATTCAAGTAGTTGGTTGTATCTGCTTTCGATCAGCTGAAGAGTTTGTTTGCTTTCATTGGTTCTAGTGTTGAAAAAACGATTACGAGCCTTACGCAGAACGTTGCGCAAATTGCGCAGCTCAGTGGACCACCAGGGTTGGACTGATGTAGCTTTCATTGAACGCCGTCTGAGAGGAGCGTTTCGTATAGTGTGTTGTAGAATAGGTCTGCTAAAAACATCGACAGAATCACTTTCCAGAAGTTGTGTCCAGTTTTTAGCAGACAGTTCGCTGCACAACGATTCAGAACCGCAAAGCTTTAAATTCAGTTCAGGTTGTAGGTCAGCTACTTTGGGTGCTCTGCAGTGAGCGTCAACTTTTAAAATGAATGGCCTATGATGATGATCGATAACGAGTAACGGGACCGGGGGTTCCAACAGCTCGACAGCATGCGGTTCGCTGATGAAAACTAAGTCTAGAAGCCTACCATTCAAATTAACGAATGAATTGACTTGGATTAGGCCGGCGCCTGCAAATTTGATTGCCGTCAATGGATGGCAATCGATGTCCGTCGGTGATTGGCACTAGATTGCGGAACAGAGACCACCGACGTTAAATAAAGGAAAGAAGGAAAGAAGATTTGGATTAGCCCGCTAGCTTGCATCGGTTCCGTGAGAGTTAAATCCTGCTCAGTGTACGCATTAGATGGTAATTCAACTCTTCGTCAGAGTCAGTGCTGGGTATTCTCAAAATCATTTCAAATTTTTTGATGAAAATGAGAAAAGTAGCTATTCGTTATCAAAAGGGACCTCCCTCGAATGGGTGAT